GCTCTGAAAGCCGTTGTAGCACGCGATACGTTCGATATTCAAAATTGTCTGAAACCATGACCTCAGCTATCTGCGGGTGAAATCGCGCTTTTACACCATTTGAGAAAGACCAGTGGCCAAAATGTCATTTAATTCAACGTAGCTCAGTCCATTCTTTGAAACAACTAGGAGAAAATTGCGGTCAACTGATCAGCAAAAACTTCATTACCATCACAGTCTTCGCAACAGCGCTGAAACACGGCACCAACTTAGCTAATATATCCGCGACGTAAGACCTATCCGAAAGACCACAGACAAGGAACCCCTTTAGGCCAGGACCATTCTCGAGCATCACCGAAATATAGTGACATCACTTCATTACAGAAAATAAGTCCCGTGTTCGAAAGTGAGCCAGGCATGAGATAAGACATTCCCTTGCACAGCTTCGTCGCCTGGGTTGACAAATGCACCTGTCATCTGAAGTACAGCAGAAACTTCTGAAATAGCACGGCGCGTGCCGCCAGCACCAAACAATAATAGTTATGTGCGGCTACTGCCTCGCAGTCAATATAGTCGCCCGCACTCCTAACACGCAACGCGAGGTGGCTGACGTGTGACGTTCTCCGCACCACGCAAACACCGTCTAATGCTCAGTGACGAGCGTTCATTCGTTTTTACGCGCGATATCTTAAGTACGACCACGGGACAACACAAGTGCCTGCTTGGTTTTCTTCCCCAAAATGACCATATCGGTCGGCGTGCCCTGATCACAACAATATTACTAAAAAGAGTTGGGGATTTGCGTCCCGCGAACTGCCAGTGCCGTAGAGACATCGGACGCCCGTATTTTGTGTCATGTGGGATGCGGTAGTGGTGGGACCGAAACTCAAACCCAGGAGTAACAGGCCCAGAGACAAGCATCTGAACCACTTCACTGTCCCAGCTCGGCGTGTTCTAGAACCCCTAGTCGTCGTTTTCTGGATGTGATGCCCGTGCTGTTTCCAATACAGCCCAACGTAACCAGCAAATGCCTTTCATTAGATAGTAAGCACTACCCGATTCCAGGAAAACTGAAAACATGCGCGATTAAAAAACCATCTTCGAGTCAAACGAGCATGAAGTTGTCATATTCTTCCGACTCGTACGTTACCTCTCTCGTTGCCGGAGTTCACTCTAATTGTAATTCACACTGTAGTTCACTCTAATCTTATTGTAGTTCACTCCTGTAATACTTCTGCAGGCCCAGTTGCAGGCACGTGCATGGGGGTGCTATTAATTGCAGAAGGCCAAAACACTATGGTCAATGACATTACAGTCGAACAGGCACAAAGCTGAACACGACCTAGTTTCGTACAAAGAAACCCGAACCCGCACACTACTGAACAGCGCCGCGTGGACCTACGACGTGGAAAATAGCTCATTTTGCTCGATCTTAACGCATCGAAAGACATTTGGCAAGGCATTTAGGCAAGACATTTCTTATGACATTGATAAATCGGACGCGCTAGCCCGTAAAATCGCTTCTAATCAGTAAAGTTTATGCCACACAAATCAATGTGTGTAGGTTGTTGTCTTCCCTTTATGAATCTTGGTTCATATGGTAATCCTCTCGCATTTGTTGCGAAAAAAACGACTGAAAACATGCATTTAAAACCACAATTTTCCAATCTTCCCTTTATGAAACTTGGTTCATATTGTTATCCGCTCGCATCTGCTGCGCTTGAAAACACGTATTTAAAACCACGATTTTCCAAGCGTCCAGGAAAATGCGGCGAGATGTTTTATGTGAGTGTCACTCCAGAAAGCTTTGCATGTTGTCTTTGGTGAAATGGCTAGATAAACTAACGACGGCTTCCTCTACCGCAACTGGTATATTTACGAAAAACGGAAGCTTTGTAACTATTGATGATCCTTGCTCCTTAGCCCTTGCACATCTCAGAGTTCTGCAGCCGTCGACAGTGTGTGTGAAATTCGTACGACCTCACCCTACTTTTCCCACATCCGAAAAGTTACAGTATTGTGCAAAACAAGTGCAACGGAACTATCGCGATGCATGTCCTTTCCAAATTTTACAAGTGCATTTTGCTACAAGAATATCTTATAGGATAGGGAATATCTAATCTCATGTAAAATTACGTACTTTTCACGCTGCGTTTTCCTGCCTGATGTCGTCAAAGCTGATCTCAAACCAACGACCATAAAACGGGCAACATACAGCATATACGTGTCTTTTAAGCACGGGCAGATCCAGAACGACACCCTTCAGGGAGGGGCGCACCGGCTTGGGGCCTTAAACACGAAAACATGTCCCGATTTTCGGATTTTCGGATCGCGCTTGCTTAAACGTCAAGGAATGATCTACCCCACCTTTGCGACCTTTTACCTTAATGAGTTATTCTTTAGTAGTAATTTGGGCTTTCGAGCGCTTCGACTGAGCGGGTTGAGGAGTATTCTATAGCAAACTTTCTTCAGTAAAAGCTACTTAGATCTCCTTTAAAGTCCAGAAATGTGCAATTGCTTGCCCGAATTTAACCATCTTGCCAGGGAGCCATGGTCATCATGGCAGACTGCCTGCTCCCCCCCCCCCCCCCCCCTCCCTGGATCTGCCCTCGCTTAGTATCGGCCATTGTGCGGGCATGCAAATGTCCGAACATTGCCAGACAAATGCTGAGACATACACATCGACGCAAAACGCGCATGTTTCCTCCTTGTCAGGGTCTAAAAACAGGCAACATGGCCCAGGCAGCCGAGGCGCTCCACAACGACAAGGATCTCACAACAGGCGCAGAGTCGCAGACCGTCGGCAGTAGAACCGTTCATACGAATAGCAGAGCGTGGCACGCCAAACGATTTTCAGGTTTCCAAGTTTTAGCTCACTTAAAGCTTTTGATCAACGATACCCAACATGCTTTTTACAATATGCCGTTTGACGCAGTTTGTATCCAACAAAGTTGCAGACACGCAATAGCCAGAGACGGGTACAAACCGCTTCCATCTCGATCAACGTTGTTGACCTCCATGGCCAGTCCTCCATGCTTTCGGTTGCCTGGTCGCGCTTTACCATTCTACTGATTCCAAGCGCGCAAGGTAATCGCAGTAATAACTGTCATATCGTTTGGCGATCCAAGTGTGTTTGGATACCGGCTAGAGCTGCTCAGCTTAGCAAGTAGTATTCCGAAGAAGCACATTTCGATTGAAGTTCGATGGCTGCTTGAGTGTCACTTTCGTCAGGTGATGTTCTCGGTGTGCACGGCTATGACCAACAGGCTTTACAGGTTCTCCCGTGTACCCCTTGCATCATGGGTTACCACTGTCCGCAGGTAATTCGTTCCAAGCCATATCCAAGCCATATTCACAGCCATGTCGGCGGTGATTTGAAGGCTTCGGATTAAGACGGATCGGCTTCGAAGTTATGTAGAAGTCACTCTGCCGATCGCCAATAAATGACGCGATATTCATCTAAGACAGTGGGAGTCAACAAGAGGTTGATGCAGGTAAATGAGGGTGCAGGTCCAGCTCTATAACTGAATGCACAGATGTAGGAATATGAGGTGTGTTTGTGTGGGGGGAGGGGCATGTGTTGCAATAGTACTCCCATTTCCCATGAATGCTGCATATTAACATTTGGCAACAAATGCCAAAAAATCCTCAAATTTTTATGCATTCACACACATTCACCAACAAAAAAGGTTTTATACCTCTCAGTACCTTTTCTTTCACTTATGAATTAACAGGCTTCTTTATTCAACATAATATTGTGCTAAGTTTTCATAATGCAGATCACCTTACCTGGTGGAAGACAGATCAAATGAGATGAGAGATGAGACATAATGGGACATGAGAAAGATGAGAGGAGTTTGAGGAAGTGTAAGGCTGCAGACTTGTGACAATAGTAAAGGCTTTGTTTGAGGAGGAGCAAACTTCACTGTGTGACTACTAAGATCAGCCTTTACTTGGATTTGTAATGCTTGCAGAGTATGTGCTGATAAAATCATGTTCAATTAACAAGCAGAATGAATGCTGGCCAGAAAAATGACTCATGCATCACACTGAGGCATGTAATATGAGTGGTGCATAAACTGATTGATCACCTGGAGATGAAACAATGAGGTCTCAGTCCCATGGATATTTGTGGTTTTGAGATACCAAGTTGAGGCTTCTGTGCTTTCCTCAAAGGATTAAGGATAAAGTGAAGCAGTGTTGTGTGATAACTAACAACTTGATGTCACAGAATTTGCTGTGAACTGTCCTTGCCACAGTATTGATGGAAACTGTTGTTTTCTGACTGACACCTTTCTACAACACACTGTAAAATTATATGAATGCTGTGGCTTGTGTCTACAATGTAGGATGGACAGCAAGCCAGCATCTCACTAAGCTGTCAGTGATGTGAAATGAAGAGAAAGAATCATACTTTCAATGCTCAGCACCTTCAATCATATTGTCTCTGTCCTGTCTGAAAATCAAGAGCTTTCCACTCAGGTGTGTGTGTGGGGGGGAGGGGGGGGGCTCATGCCTCCAGATTGGGCTCTAGCTCCCACGAGCTTGCACAAATGATCATAATGTGGCATATTTAAATGCCACAATCTGCTATCACAGAATTGCACAAATTGTGTGTCAGGTCAAATGTTTTCCAAGTACACATCATTTGCTTTCAGTTTGTTTGGGATCCTTCTGATGATTGCACAGCAAGACTCATTTAATCAGACCTTTATGGACTGGTGACATCTTAGAGTATGCCTTCAGGTCATCAGGGTGTGAAAACAATGCTGCGCGACCATATGCACTGGACAAAGGCCTGATCTCGAGTCATCCCAGAAAGATGCGATCAAATCTCCAGAAAAAACGCAAATAATCGCAAACTTGACGCCCAAATGTTCAAAAGTGTAGACGATTTAGTAGCACGCAAAATATGTGAGCCCATAACCAACCGTGCAAATTTAAGGTCGTTCTCCCCACGCCGATCATCGTAATCCAGCGCACACTATTCGCCTAATCATTCATATGCTTGAACAACTTACCTATTAGCACTTACGGAGAACTTAGTGGCCCTACGCTCCTGCACAGTCAACGCACATTATAACCATGTATGTGTCGCCGGCGCCTCGGGCTCAAACGCTTGCCTATCAATATGGGTCTCGCAAGGCAAAAGTAGCACTAAACCAAGGTTAAGGTTTAACTGAAATAATGCGAGGACGACGCACCAAAAACATTACAAAGTGATTGATGTCGCCAAAAATGCTGGAAACGTTGTTTTCTTTGAACTTAATACGCGTCCAGGTGGCCGGTTAGATAACCTTCGCTCGGGGGGGGAGGGGGGGGGGGGGGTCAGTTTTACCCGTCCTGAGATCTCGGGAACTAAGAGAGCTAGAGACACCAAATTCACAGCGTGTGTTGATCTGTACGTGAACTCACGTAGTTCAAAGTTTGAAGTTCTTTTGGCAGGTGTGTCAATTTTTGTAAGTTATCAAGGGGGCCGAACCAAAGGCCCGACAACATCCCCCAATTTTTTCTAACCGGATCAGAGCCACTTTACTTGAAATACACGCAATGCATGTCTGAATCTTCGTATAATGTATAAACGTCCTTAATTTAAACAGTATAAAAGTTATGCAGGGTTGGGTCCAGGGGCCAGACACTGCACACACGCGTCTTCTGATCGGCACGTGAAGGCGTCCCTTTAGGTGCCACCCTACGGCGCCGATTGCGCTCTTCTGTGGTGGTCATGGGAGGCGGCACGCATTTTGGCTGCGGCGAACGGGAACGGGGTTAGCCATCAGAGACTTAGGTCATGCTTATATTCTAGAACTTTTCACTTTAAAATCACAAACCACTGCGTGCTTCATGGCGCAAGGTATGTGCAGTTTACTGCATCGTTTATCCGCTCAGCCGCTGTGGAGAGTAACCATGACTTTTTGTCGTGAGAATGGCACGAGACGCCACTGCGCAGAAAAATCTAAGAAGGTTGTATTTGTGTTGTAATGATTTGTACACACGTTTTTTGTAGCATTCCACCCCAAAACACTGGGGTGGGGGCAAGCCAACATTGGGGGGGGGGGGGGGGGAAGGGCGGGGCAACTCAACGTTGCGGAGCCAGGGCCCTCACAAAAAAACAAATCGACCCCGTGTTCCTAGGCCATGACCCACGGGCCAAATAAGATCAAAGTTAAATTTCAGGTCGGTCCCTGAAGGGTCCCTGGAATCTAAATAACCATTTTAAGCGAGAGGTCACATGCGCATTTAAGGTCAGTGACCTTGTCTGACCTTTTGAAGGTCATGGTTACCCACATCATACAAGACTGCTTTGAGTTTTGCACTTGAATAAACAACAAAGATTGCACTAAGCAGTACGCTCCTAAAATCAAAACGTTGGCCCGAGTCATTTTTGGTCATTATCCCATTCTGACCTTTAAGAAGTCCATGGAAGGTGCTTCATGCGGCTCCTGTTATCAGTAAATTCGAAATGAGCACCAGAAACTATCCCATTCAACACGCTCTACAATAACAGTTTGGTTTTGATCTTGGCCTGACCTTCATATCTGACCGTAGGTTAATGCCATTTGTTTAATCAATTGCTATGTTGCCTAAGAAGGGATCTCAGAGATGTCTGGCTTCGTCTAACACTCCGTTGTTGAATCAGATTGAACGATTCCCTGGAAAAGGCCTTCGCTGAAACCATGGCCTGGCTTTGACCTGCCATGGTCAGCCACATTAAAAAGCATATATAAATTTTTTATGCCAGACGATCTACTATTTAATTGTCTACAGCAGCGCAAAATTTGGCGCTGCTATGCCGCACCGTTCGGATACCATTCCGAAAAAAAATATTTGAGAGAGGGGGGGGAGCAATCCGAACCCCACCCGATCGCGTTAAAAAACGCATACGTTTAACTGATATCGACCATGCCAAGACCTTAAAATATTGTTCCAGACGTGGCTTTACCATCGGGAGGCGCAGAAAACATCTTACTGAGTCCCTATTGGACTACCGTTACCACTTCACACACTTTTTTACACACGTGGGCAATCGTGCCAGACACATGCCCTCGCATTTCCACTTTCAGTTCGTTAGTCCATTTAATGATAATTGCCATTTTTCGCCATCTCTGGTCAAAATCTGGGTAGGGATCTTGGTTCGGCCTTGATACAAAGCGCTTGTGACACGGTGTTGTACAACAGTGCCGTCGGTTAAGGGGGTTTCTCACACGAGCAGCGGCCGGCCGTTGGAGGGGGGCGCCTCGCCGCATCACCGCAGTCGTCCCCGCACGTATAACATTCGTCAAATAGTTTTCTTTATTTCATCCTGTCTCACGCACCCAGGCAGGAACGCACGACCACGACATGGCACGTCTGATGCACTCTGACCAGCGTTGGACGCACGTCAAACTAGAGCTACCGCGACTCTATGTACGCAAGTCGCGCTGATGAGACGGTTGCGACCACGAGTAGCGCTGCGGGGCGCTAGAACCGCGACCACTCAGTGAATGCCCTCGACGGCCCCTGTCAGGACCGCACTCCGACGCCGGGTCGGCAGCATGGCAGCCGCGCGTTCGCTTGTACGGGGGACACGCGCACATCGAACCGTGGCCGAACGACGTGGCTGGTACCTGCGCCTCCGGCTTCAGAAATCCGCGGCTTGGCCTGAGCGTGGCTCCACCACCGAAGGTCGAACGTTGCCGCGGTGTGAGCTGCAGTGATCGCGCCGCTGTCCACAAACACTCCGGCGTCACAGCGGCTCACGCCAAGCTTGCAGCAGCGCCCGTGGAGTAGAGACGTGGTGCCGACGACCCCCAGAGATATCGACTTTCTGATCCACACAGAAACCACCAATGCCGCCAGCTATCAACTCAGACACGGCGGATGGGACAAACACGGCCATCTATTCCGGCTAGCTCAGTTAGAATGAATGCACACGTGACAAGAATCAGCCATCTAGACTGCCACGCACTTGTCGTGCAGATGAAGCACACATATGAATCGAACACATTCAAATAGCAGCCACGTGCGGAGAAACAAAACAGCGTGAAACTTGCCACACGCTCTCCAAGTCACAAAGCCTGAAATACACCAGACACAAGCTGCGGCCGAGCGCGCGGCGTGAGTGACCTGCGGGGACGCGGCGCCCCGGCACGGCCGGACGCCGCGCCGGCTGAGATCAGACCGCTACACCTCGCCCAGCCAGTGTCAGCGTCCACGTCGCCAACTCAGGCTTGACGTTGGGCCGCGGGGCCCCCGCCCACTGCAGTCCGTACCCTGTTGGCCTCCGCTGAGTCAGCCACGCCGGCCTACAGCGGCGTCGCCTCTTCACCGGGTTCAGACGCCCTCAGAACGGGGTCACCGGCCCCCGACACAGGCGGTGGTGACGGCGTCTCTCCATTGTTCTGCACGTGCGGCGGCGGCGGCGGCGGCGACGGCTCCTTCTGCGGTTCCGTCGGTGGAGCCGACGGGTCGGCTTCGTCCGCGGCAGGCGCTGCACGTTCCACTGACACGTCGGCCGGCGGGGCGGATCCCACCACCCCGTCCGGTGGCGGCGGCGGCGGCGGCGGCATTTCATATTCCCTCGCATCCGCCGGAGCTGGCGCAGCCTCTTCAGTAGCGGCCAGCGGCGGTTCCGGCTCCGCCGCCTCAGTCGACGGAGACGTCTGATTTTTCGCCTCCCGCGATGGCGGTTCGGGATTATCCACCTCCACCAGCGGCAGTTCCGGCTCATCCACCTCTGAAGGCAGGGGCTCCGGCTTCCCCTCTTCGGACGGTAGCGGCTCTGACTTCTCCGTCTCAGACAGAAGCAGCTCAGGCTTCTCGGCTTCTGACGGCAGCGGCTTTGGCTTCTCCACCTCTGACGGCAGCGGTTCCGGCTTCTCTACTCCTGACGACAGTGGGTCCGGCTTCTCCACCTCTGACGGCAGCGGCTCTGGCTTTTCCACCTCTGACGGCAGCGGTTCCGGCTTTTCCACCTCTGACGGCAGCGGTTCCGGCTTCTCCATCGGCTTCTCTACCTCTGCCGCCGGCAGTTCCGGCCCTGCTGCGTCATCTAACGGTGCCGAGGACCCTGACCCAACAGTCGCCGTGCCCGTCTCCATAGACGGTGCCTCTCCCTCATCCACCCCCTCCGTCTTCACCACCGGCTCCTCCTCCCGCCTGGACATCCGCTGAAGACGCCGCGACTGACGCACACCCGGCGAGGCCACCAGGTAGCGCGGCCGCTTCGGAGGCGGTGTCGCGCCCCCCTGTGACGGTGATGACGGGCGCTTGCGCGGCCGGCCGCGCCGCCGGGCGGGCGGACGGTCGGGGGCGGCGCTGGCCGTGCCATCGGCCGGAGCGTCAGCTGCACCATCGACGGCGGTGTCGACTGGACGATCGGCTGGACCAGCAGGAGTGTCTGCCGGGCCAGCGGACGGGTTACCTGCTGGACTATCGGCTGGACAAGCAGCCGGGGTGTCTGCTGAACCGGCGGCCGGGGTGTCTGCTGAACCAGCGGCCGGCATGTCTTCTGGACCAGCAGATGGGGTTCTGACTGGACCACCGGCCGTGGTATCTGCTAGAACATCGACCCGGGTACCGGCTGGCCCATTGGCTGGACCAGCAGCCGTAGTGTCGGCTGGACCGGCGGCCGGAGCGCTGGACGGCCCACCGGCCGGGGTGTCGGGCGGCTCGGCGGCCGGGGCGTCGGGCGCACCACCGGGCGGTAGGTCGGGAGCACCGTTCCGCGGCACGCGCGGCGAGGCACCGGGCGTGCGCAGCGAGCGACGCGGCACGCTGCCGGGCGTGCGGCCGTCCTTGCGCGGCCGGCCCGGACCGCGACGGATCGGCGGCACCGGCTTCTCGTCAGTGCCGACGGCGGCGGCGGCCGCTGCCGCCGTGTCCGGAGACACCAGCAGGCGACGCTCGTAGCCGGGCCGTACGGCGGCGGCTGCGCCACACGCGCCGCCCACCAGCGCCAGCGCCTTCTCCAGCGGTGGGAAGCGGCGTTGGTTTCCCGGCGTGCCTACCACCAGCCGGATGACGGGTCCCTCGTCGGGGCCGAGCCGGCGCGGCCGGCCCTTGCGCACCGCGAACGGGATCAGCTTGCCGTTGAGCGAGTCGCCAGA